GCTATAAACGGCTATAAATTCAAATGACTACAACGACTATGAATTCAAATGAATACAACGGCTATAAACAGTTATAATTTTCATTATATATACCAAAGCCTCTAATGTAAACATGTTACAAAAAAACTTGAAAATATTTTTTGATCTATAATCACTCACATCTATTCTTAAAAATTATACACTGAGCCTTATAGCTTTAAGCACATCTTTCCTGTGTGAGATTTACAGAAAAATCAAAGTTTCATTTTATATATCTATCTTTGAGAGATATTTATTGTAAGCTTTCTTTGAAATCAAAAATACCATTTCATCTTGTAAAAGTGTTACAAACACTGTGTTCTTGAAATCTTGAGAGTGGTTGTGAATCACCTAAGATTTGCAAGAGTTTGGACTTGTGAAGTCTGTATAAAATCCGTGGAGGATTGCTCCATTTGTAAAGAGGTTGCTAGCATTCCTGTGAAGCTAGAAGATAGTGAAAAATCTCAAGTGAAGCTTAAGGAGTGGACGTAGGCTGAGTTGAAGCCGAACCACTATAAATTTGTTTGTCTCTCTCTCCATTATCTTTTTATTTTATTTTAAATTACCATAGCTATATTTCACATTTTTACTGTGTTAAAATCATTAATTGACATAGTTGTTAAGAAACTTGTTTTAATTATTTTTATTTCATTAATTATATTTATCTATTGTGCTAGTCATAATTTTTATTAGGGTATTATTAATGTTAATTGTAAAAACTCAATTGACCCTCCCTCTTAGATTGTCTTTTGGATAACAACAAGAAATAAAGTTATATTCGCCACACTCCAACAAAAGGATGGCAGATATGTGACTTTCGGCGACAATAGCAAGGGAAAATCATTAGTGTAGGTAGTATTGGTAAAAATCTTTCTCCTATTATTGAAAATATTTTATTTGTTAATGGTTTATGAGAGGGGAGATTTGCACGTTAGTACGGCCGAGCTGCGATGACGCCGATCATGACGAACCGCACGCCGCTGAGCAGAATCCTCTCTTGCTCGGCCCAGCGACCTGACTTGCACGGCCGGAGAGGTCGACCGGCCGGACACGAACCAATGCTTGGTCGAGCTACAACGCGGCCGAGCGCGCAGCAATGTCTGATGACCAAGCTAAGAGCAACCCAGGCTAGACTATGGATGTGGTTAGGGCCGGCACGCTTCTGACCGACCAGCCGAGATAAGTGGGCTTCGTGTGACCGAGAATAAAGATAGGACGGGTGGAGGCCGGCATACCTCACAACCGGTTAGCCTAATGAACCGATCAATATCAGCTCGGCCATGAGTATCGCCTTTTGGCCCCTTCGCAACGGACAGTCCGACGATGCATAGCTCGGTTGTGTGCATGTGATGGCAACTCGCTCGAAGTGATAGGCCGGTCGTGGTATTCTGGTCAAGTGTGCCACCTGGGCCAATGGCGCGAGGGATAAAGGAAATCTGCTCCAAGCATGCGCCAATACCGTTGGACAGTTCTACGTGTACTGGTGGGAGGACTAAGCCTTTACACACGTAAGGTGGTGAGAGGCGAGCACTGCCACCTGTCCTGGGAAGGATAGTAGAGGTAGTGCGCGCATAATCTTGAGGCTGCATGGCCAGCCTTGAAATATGGAGGAGGACGGACGTTAGAGGTATGCAACTTCTTTCCCAAAGAGAATACTCTCTCTCTATCAGTCTTCTTCTTCCACAAGTGGACTGACTTGATCGTCGAAGGGTCTATCCGGCACACCATCGCCGGGCAGCTCACCGTTTCTGTGTTGCCAGGTAGACGCCGTCAAGAGAAGCTTGGAGTACAAGGAGTGCGGAAAGTAGAGGATATTTCGCTCCCGTACAATTGGCGCCGTCTGTGGGAAGTCTTTGATACTCAACCCTTGTTCTTTGAGCTTCTTCGACCATTTCCATGGCCAACAACGACGAAGCCCCACTGTCCGTCGTCGATGGCGTCACACCTGAGTACGTCCGCTTGAGAGAAGGCCCCCTGAATATTCCAGCCATGGCGGGCCTAGAGACTCCTTCGCGAGGTGCGCGAGACAAACGCGGGAGGAGTACTGATCGCTCGCAGAGTCCTGAGGGCCGCTGACGCCGGGGGGAGTCCCATGCGCAGCGCCTGGAGCACAAACTCAAGGACCAAGACGCCCTCATTCGCAAGATGGCGGCGGAGATGGAGCTGCTGAAACGCTAGATTAAAGGGAAGGGTGTTGCTGGAGAGGGCAACCTCAGTGAGCGCACCCCGTCCCCTCGTTGTAGCAGTCGCCGCCAGGGGAGGACTCACTCTCTCTCCATCACCAGGAGCTATGGGTTTGGAGATTCCGATCAAAGAGAGAGCGGGTCCCTCTCTCGCGACAGCACTTACCGCCCCTCACGCCCGACGCCGACGTCGGGATCCTCTTTCTCCATGCGTTCCAGGGACTTGAGGGATGTATTGGAGGAGAGGGCGCGCCGTCAGAAGGCTCGGAGAGTGCCGACATTGCAGAGGTTGAGCGCTCCAGTTCGTTGTAGTGAGGAAGTGCCAGCCCCCAAAGTGATAGCCCCTACACCGGTGGACAAAGAGCTGGCGCGACTTACAGCCACGCCGTTGTCTCCAGAGATTGAGAGTACGCCACTCCCCGCCGGATTCCATCAGCCAAAGTTCACTTTGTACGACGGCAAGACAGATCCGTACATGCATGTGAGCCATTACCGGCAAGTAATGGCTGGCCACCGGCACAACGACGCCTTGATGTGCCTCATATTCCCAGCAAGCTTGGGAGAGCTGGGTTTGAAGTGGTTCGAAAGACTCCCAGAGGGAAGTATTGAGGGGTGGCAGCAACTAGCGGAAGCCTTCATCACCAGATTCAAAACCAACACACGAACGCCGAAGGAGGTCGACCATCTCCTGGGCGTCAAGATGGAGTCTAGATGTTCGTTGAAGGCATACAATGCGAAATACTAGAAAACTTACAATGAGATCCTCGACTGCCCCACCAATTTGGCGATCACTCAATACAAACGGGGTCTCTCAATCGGACATAGGCTGCGAGATTCACTCACGATGCATCAACCCACGACCATGGAGTCCTTGATGCAGCGGATCAATGAGCACATTCATGTGGAGGATGATGCCGCCTCCGCGACCGAGAAGTCTAATCCGGTCACGGCGGACAGAAAGGTGGTGAGAAAAGTTCACTCGGTTGGGCAGCAGGATAACCGCCCAAACAACCGGTCAAAAGATTAGCGCCATGGTTCAAACCGTGATGACAGAAACAAGGGTCGCCGAAACGACCGAGCTGACACTCCCCGTGATGCAGCGGAGGATGCCAAAAGAAAATTAAAGGCACGGACTGGAATCACCACGGTATTTAAAATCCCCATCTACCGCATTTTGAGCGAGATTCGAGGTGAACCCTTCGTCCGATGGCCGGCCAAGTTGGGGAGTGCGCAGAGGGGCTTCAATTCAAAATATCGCTGCACCTTTCATGAAGAACGGGGGCACCGAACAGAGGACTGCTTGCCGCTCAAACAACACTTAGAGGAGTTGGTGGCGGCAGGGCATCTTGACCAATACATAGATGGGGGCATCAAGGCCACGCTAGCGGACCAAGCCGAGCCAAATGGCCTGGCCGCCCTAGAAGCGCCCCCGCAAGGTGTAATCAACGTCATCCACGGAATCATTGAACCGGCCAGGGTTTGCGAGCTAAGGGGGATGATCAAGAAGGCCAAGCATATGAGGGAAGTGCTCTCTGTTCAGTCCGCTATGAAAAAAGGAAAGACCGAAGAAAAGGATATCCTTTCATTCTCAACCAATGACTTGGAAAGAGTTCAGATGCCGCACAATGATGCTTTAGTAGTCACTCTTCGCGTCAAAGACTTTGACATCAAGAGAATCTTGATCGACCAGGGGAGTTCGGTAGAAATTATGTATTATGACGCGTTTAAACAAATGAAGTTGGAAGACAAGGACTTGGCCCCCGCAACATCCCCTTTGGTCGGCTTCAACTCACAGCCAGAATGGCCAATCGGAAATATAATTTTGCCGGTCAAAGCGGGATCGGTCGTAAAGCAAGTAGAATTCTGGGTGCTCAAAGTTCCATCGACTTACAACTTAAGTTCCATAGTAGACTACATGTCATTATCTTGATCTTAGGCAGGGGCTGGCTGCACGCCATGCAAGTAGTTGCTTCGACCTTCCACCAAGTCATGCGCTTTCCAGCACCAAGCGGACAAATAGAGGAAGTTTGGAGAGACCAGGTGATGGCGAAACAATGCTTCGTTGCGGTAAATGACAGCCGAGCGGCCAAAGGGTTCGTCCAAATGATTGAGGGGCCCGAGGGTAAAGAGGTCCTTGAAGACGTAGGAAGAAAGGCCGAGGAAAAATCGGTCGAAGATTTGGTGGAAGTGCGCATTGACGAGAACGATCCAACTAAATTCTTCCTCTTGGGATCATCCTTGTCTAGCGCGGAGCGGATGGATTATGCCAACTTCTTGGTTTCCAATTTGGAGGCCTTTGCCTGGACGCCTTACGACATGCCTGGCATCGACCCGAGCTTCATTTGTCATCAGTTGAATGTCTTTCCCAATGCACGGCCAGTCATTCAAAGGACGCATCGCTCAGCCTTGCACCATGCTAAAGTGGTGGCAGAAGAAGTGAAGAATTTGTTGGAAGCTGGGGCCATAGAGGAGGTGTAATACCCTCGATGGATATCCAACACAGTGGTTGTTCCGAAGAAGAACGGCAAGTGGCGAGTCTGCGTTGACTACAAGACCGTCAACCGAGCTTGCCCCAAGGATAGCTTTCCCCTCCCACGAATTGACCAGCTGGTGGACTTAACCGCTAGCCATCAGAGGTTTAGCTTCCTAGACGCATATCGCGGCTACCACCAGATAGCCATGTATAAACCGAACAGAGAGATCACGTCGTTCACAACCCCCAGAGGCTTATATTGCTACAAAGTCATGCCGTTCGGACTAAAGAATGCCGGGGCGACTTTTCAATGGATGGTGACAAAGATGTTCGCCCTAATGCTGGGCCGCACCATGGAGGCCTACATCGACGATATGGTGGTGAAAAGTAAGGAGAAAGCTCAGCACCTCTCCGACCTAGCAGAGATGTTTGCTATACTTAAACGCCACAAGCTTCGTTTGAATTCCAAATGCGCCTTTAGAGTCGGCACCGGGAAGTTTTTGGGTTTTCTGGTCACAAATCGAGGGATTGAAGCTGACCCATCACAGATCAAGGCTATACAAGACCTGGAGCGTCCTAACTCCACGAAGGACGTGCAACATCTTGCCGGGATGGCAGCCGCGTTGAACAGATTTATCAGCCGGTCTTCTGATCGTTGCAGGCCCTTCTTTAAAACTTTAAAGTCCAAGTTCTTCTGGGATGACGAGTGCGACCGCGCACTAGCAGACCTGAAAGCATATCTCTCCTCAGCCCCTATTTTGGTCAAACCTCAGCCGGCCGAGGAGTTGTACCCTTACTTGGCTGTCTCTCAACACGCAGTCAGCGCGGTGGTGGTTCGTGCTGAAGGCATCCAGCACCTACCGATCTTCTATGTAAGCAAGACTCTGCTCCCAGCCGAAACGAGATATCTTCCCTTGGAAAAATTGGTGCTGGCCCTAATGATGACGTCAAGAAAGCTGGCACACTATTTTCATGCCCATACAATAGTTGTGTTAACCGAGTTGCCGCTCAAAGTGCTTTTTGAAAAGGCAGACTTCACTGGGAGAATTTTGAAATAGGCCGTGGAATTAGGGCAATATGACATCAAGTTCCGACCGCGCACCGCAATCAATTCTCAAGCACTTGCTGACTTTGTGGCGGAATTTGCCCCTGGGATGCATCCAGTCTGCCCAATTGATTTGGTCGGTGCGGATGTAATACAACCCATGGTTCTGGCAACAAAAACAAGTGTTGGTGCGCAAGAGGAGGAAGGGCAAAGAGCGACCGAACCAGTGAAGGCGAATGACTCGATAAAGGAGGAAGTCAACCATGACGAGGAAAGAGACCAGAATGAGCCAACCAGAGACTTGGATTTGAGTAGTTCCCAAAACCCTTCTGATTGCTGGAAGCTGTTTGTCAGCGAGATGTGGAAACTCTTCGTCGATGGGGAATCCAACAGACATGGGGCCGGGCTGGGTATCGTGCTGACTTCACCGGACGGAATGATCATTGAACAAGCAATTACGCTTGGTTTCCCGGCATCTAACAATGAGGCGGAATATGAAGCCCTCCTTGCCGGGCTAAGAAGCGCACTAAGAATGAAAGCGTCGGCCCTGATGGTGTTCAACGATTCCAAGCTGGTAGTCAATCAAGTCTTAGGGGAGTACGAGGCCAAGGATGAAAGAATGGCCAAGTATCAGGCGCTGGTACGTGCAGAGATCAAGAAGTTCGATGCCATAAAGGTAGAGTAGATCAACCGCGAAGGAAACAGCACGGCTGATGAGTTGGTCAGGCTCGCTTCTACTCAGACATTTTTTCCCAACCCTTTGATGATAGAATTTTTACCGCGGCCAAGTATAGAAGAATCAGAAGTGGCCGAGGTACTTTGCACCGACTTAGGCCCTTCTTGGATGGATCCTATCATCGCCTTCCTGAAAGATGGAATTCTACCAGAAGAAAAGAAGGCGGCACACAAGATCCGGGCAAGGTCAGAGCAGTTTTGGCTCTCCCCGTCCAGGGCTTTGTACAAGAAATCTTTCACCGGGCCGTTTTTGAAATGTGTCCACCCCACCAAGGTGGAGGCTTTCCTCTATGAGATACACGACGGCATCTGTGACAGCCATACTAGGGGCAGATCCTTGGCTTACCGAGCAATTTCTCAGGGTTATTAGTGGCCGCACATGCAGGCAGATGCGCAAAAATATGTTCACAGGTGCGAGAAGTGTCAGAAGTTCGCCCACCAGATCTACCAACCGGCTAGAGATTTGCTCCCTCTCACAAGTCCTTGGTCATTCGCGCTTTGGGGGTTGGATATTGTTGGGCCACTCCCAGCTGCACCGGGTAATCGCAAGTTCTTTATCGCCGCCACCGACTATTTCACCAAGTGGGTTGAGGCCGAGCCACTAGCGAACATAAGGGAAAAGGACGTAAAGAAGTTTGTATGGAAAAACGTCATCACCCGTTTCGATATACCCAAGGCCCTCATCTCGGATAATGGCACTCAATTTGATGGTAAACTCTTTCGCGGATTTTGCAAAGAGTTGAGGATCGAGTTCTACAATTCGACGCCGGCCTATCCTCGGTCAAATGGTCAAGCAGAGGCCTCAAACAAGATCATCCTGGACGGGCTGAAGAAACGGCTTGAGAAGGCTAAGGGCAAGTGGGCTGAAGAACTCCCTAATGTGCTCTGGGCATACCGCACTACGCCAAGGCGGTCAACCGGGGAAACACCGTTTGCTTTGGCCTATGGCATGGAGGCTGTCATCCCGTTGGAAATTGGCATGCCAACCATCCGCTCTGAAAGTTTCCAGCTTGTCACGACCCAAACCCGGCCCTATGGGTTTAGCACCGTAACCGGCCAGTAATCCGAGATTACCGAAGGCCTGCAGAACAGTAGTATAGTAAAACAGAGTACAGGGCCTGGCTGAAGCCAAAACAGTAAATAAATAATGTTCATTGAGCTGTGACAGTCTGTATGCCAAAAAGATTTTTCAAGCATTCACACAAAATTTACAGTCACACAGTACAGGGACCAAATCCCTTGATAACAGTACAGTTAGTAGCTGACAGTCTATACAGTAAACCAAACAATACGGAGACAGCCGGGGGAAAAACAAGACACCCCAAAGCCATAGCAGGGTCTTTTACTTTTAAGATGTAATTTGCTTGTGTTGTTTAGCTTTTCTAGACTTGTAGCCTTTTGGCACTTAATGTAAAAGATAACAATGCTTTTTGTAATGAAAAATAGCCCTCTGGTTGTTTGGTATTACATCTTTGTACAATGAATTCGCAAGGACGCAAGGCAATTATGGATGCCAGGGGCAAGGAGACCGACTTGAATGGGACCGGACTGATTTCCACTCGCCGGAATGGAAGCAGACCGCACAAACAGTTGTGCATTGTCCAACGATATAATTGGCGTATGGACCAATTCGCATTAGGGCCAAGCTGATTTTGCTTGCTCGGTTGAAATGTTGGCGTCATGACCAACTTAACTGAAACATTGGTGTTTTGCCCAATGTAAGGGCCGAGCTGATGTTGCTCGGCCCGGTTGGCATATTGGTGTCTTGTCCAATATGGAAAACGAGCGGAGTTTGCTCGGCAGAATTCGCAATGTTGGAGTTTTGTCGAACCGATAAAAAGTCGAGCTGACTTTGCTCGGCGGACAAGAAATGTTGGTGATCTACCCAACTGAAAGGGCAAGCTGGTTTTTGCTCGGTCACATTGAAGTACTGGAATTCTATAAAGTTTGAAAACCCGTCAAGGCTGAGCTGATTTTGCTCGGCCCCGTTCATGAGCCCCTAATTTCGAGCCGAGCATATTTTGCTTGGCATTTTAAAAGGTGCATTTGAAATTTCATGGAGCCGAGCTGCTAGATGAAGTTTGAACACGTTTAAGGAAATTTTGCACGTCGAAGCCAAAAAGCAATAGAAGTTAAACGGGCAAAAAGTTCAAAAATTTCATTCATTGAGAAAGTTGCAGTACATAAGGGCGGACATAGCCCGATTACATTCCAAAACAAAGAAAGGAAAGAAGTAAACAAAAGACAAAGAAAATAAAGACAAAGTTCAATCTAATTCTAGTTCAACTGTCTGTTCGGTGACTTGCACAGTTTGCTCGGCCTCCTCCACATTGCGCTCGGGCAGGTTTTCTTCGACCTCATCGTCAGCACCCTCCACCGTGACAACCTCCCGATCAATAACTTCTTCATCGTCAACAACGTGAGATGCTGCAGGAGAAGTTTGCTCGGTTTGCTCTGCGGCGGCGGCTTCTTCCTCGGCCTCTTTCCGTGCCTCTGCGATAAGCCAGTTTTGAGTGGCCTGGGAGTACGCCTGCATGTAGACCGGGATATAGGCCGTAGGTGGATTTATGAACATGTCAAAATCCTGTCCAAGGTCAACTTTCTCCATGGCAGCTTTCCAGCCGCACTAGAAAAAGATGTCCTTGGTCGCTTAGACCTGCCGCTTATAAGTTTTCTCCCCCTGAGCGTATCCCCGGTCCTCGGCGTCGTCCATAGCTTTGTCCTTTTCTTCTTTGTGGGCTTCGCGCAGCTTGCGCAGCTCAGCAAGGTACCAGGCCTTATTTGACTTCACGGCCCTTTGTTTGTCCGCCTCAGCTTGGTCAACCTTCAGGCGCAGTTCATCTCGCTCGGCCGCAATTACATCTTGCGCGGCCTTGAGTTTCTCTATCTCGGCCTTTTGAACCTTGTTTTTGGCAATGGCATCCCGAAGGCTCTGTCGCACTTTGATCATCCGGTCATGGGCCAAATAGTTCTTTTGCGCGGCCTGAAAATAAGCGAGAGATCGTGAGTATTCGAGAAATCGAGCAAAAATTGAGCAAACAGTCTAAAGCAAAGAATGGAGAATTTACCAGCACTATGGATTTTGCCACCGAGTGGAGGACCTTGAGGTCGGAAAGCTTGTCGTGTTTTTTCATATCAGCGGGTAAGATCAACCCCTTGGTCAAATTGAAACCAAGCGAGTAGTCCTTGTCCGCGTAGACAGAGTCTTTAACAGAAACTGCTCGGCCCTGGTATTTGAACTCGGGCACCCAGACCGGGGGGGTGGCTGGGCCCTTGGATTTGCCGGTCTGTGGTTGCTCGGTCTGGTCCCCGAGCTCGGTGGAGACGCAATCGGTAGAGTCTTCATCTGCCAGACATGGCCCGGTGTGCTCCTTCCTCGGCCGCTTCTTGGACCGACCAGTCGGTTGCTCACTGGCAAGCGCCAGTACTGCCCCTTCTTGTTGCCCGGCGGGTGTGGAGGATGTCCCCCTGGTTGCCTCTGGTTTTTGGGACTCTTCTTCCCCGTTGATCATGGACTTGATGGCCCTAATTTTTGCCATTTCTTGCTCGGCGGTGAGTGGAATAAGCCTAATCGGTGGTAGGTTTGGATCCGGTTCTGGGGTTGGCGCACGCAGAAAATCGGTAACCCGGCTCTTGCGCGGCGCGGTGTAGTGGTAGGCCTGTTCGAAGCCGAGCAGTTTCGCAGCCTCCCTCTCCTCGGCAGGATGGCACAACAGGGCTCTGATGGCCTCTTGGTTGGCCTGGTAGTAGTCTGCTACTAGGTGCTTATCTGCAAAAAGAAGACAAGTGTTAGATCGGCATGGAAAGTAATTGATGCATTAAGAAAATAGCGCGGTCAGCCGAGCGACTCACCGGCACTGCCAAAATCCTTTCTAATATACCATCCCGGTATGGGTGCCTCGGTGTCCTCATAGCGACCGGACACCCATAAGAAGTCGTCGTCGTTTGTCTCCTTGTCCGGGTTGCCCTCTATTAGCTTTGCTCGGCCCTTCTTGACTTTGAGGTACCAGCAAAGCCCACTCTTATTTCTACTTAGACTATACTGATGGAAAATTTCGGCCAGACCGAGATTGAGACCTAGCATCCGGTTCAGCTCGGCGACCCCATTTATTATTTTGTAAGTGTTATTTGAAACTTGGGTCAGGCAAAGCCTTGTCTGCCTCAAAAATTCGCAGATCAATGGTTGAACCGGGAAGCGGAGCCCTCCCTCTACTATTGATACGACGGTGAAGGGGCACCGGTCTAGATCCCCCCAAGGGGTGTCTCCCTTTTTGGCGAGCTCTAAGACGACGTCATCTGGGATGTTGTACTCCCTACAAAACTCGGCCATCGCACCGGGCGAGCTCACCGTGAATCGGTACTTGCCCATCTATCTCAGTTTTATTTGGTGAACTAACTTGTACCTCGGTCAAAAATGTTTGGTGTAATTGCTCGGTCTTTGAGCTCCACCAGTGATGGTTCTTGACTGAACTGATCGGTCCTAGTTTGTTCTGCATCATTAAAAAATGAGGCCAAGGGTTAGCGCGGCATAAATTCCAAGGCTCCAATTGGAAATAGCTCGGTGAAGGATTTTTGGTGTTTTACCGGCTTGACCCCTATCGTGGCTAGACTACTTGGTCGATTTCCTAGCTCGGTTCATTTCTATTTGTAGATCTAATGGAGTATTTAGCTCGGTTAGGCTTTGAAGTGGAGACCTCAAGTTACAGCTCGGTGCGCTCCTATTTACCAATCTAATTAGAGTATTCAGCTCGGTTGCGACCTCGGTAAGAAGCCACAAACCAGTTTTTGCTTGGCTATAGCTCTACCTATGGATCTAAATGAGCGTTTAGCTCGGTTCTATCCAGATTTAAACTGTTCATCCCAGAAGTGGGGCGAACTCGTTTGAACCAAGGAGGAACAGGGGGCTCAGAGGCCCCTTCCATTCTCAAAGTTACCATTTGCCCTAGGGTGTGCAGGTTCTAAGCAAAGAAAGGGGGCACTGGTGGTCACAAACAAAAAAAAAAACATGAAGGACATGTATAAAAAAATTTGAGAAATAGAAACAGAAAATGCAAGAAAGGGTAGTGTAACTTACCAGAGGGGACAGATGCGAGGGTGAATGAAACCTCGAGAGCTCGATTGCGGCCTTCGAAAGGATTTGAAATGGAGGACGTAGCACAGAGACAGTAATGGCAGTGGTCTTGGGGGTTCGAAGGTTTGAGAGGTTTAGGGTTTGTGTGGAAGAGAAGGTGAAAACCGAAGGGTTGTAGGCCCTTCGTTGGAATGCAAAAGAGGGGGGAAGGAACCCCAAACGGCTGCGCCGTTTGAATTCTGCGCGTGCAGAACAGCTGGCTGCACGACCCAATGGCGTGAAGCCACGCGGCACTGGAA